CTGCGGATCCGACATAAGTCGGATCTGCGTAAGTCAGGGACTGCCTGTATAGACTAACTCGGCTACCCTTCTGAAAATTTTGGATTGTAGTCTGTTAGGATGTATTGGTGTGATGTTCTGACAGGTCTTTTGCTTTGTCAATGATGATAACCAGAAGGCTGCATGCGTTTGTGCTCAATTATGTATACTGTGTTGACTTGTGCAATTAGTCAACACAACAGACTCCGAGAGAGACCCCCAAAGAGCACAAATCAGATAAGGATTGAAGGTGCCCAGCCAGGATTATTGTTAAGCGAAGTACAGTAATAGTTGTTAGTAGAATTTACCAAATCACTATGCATATGTACCTGTAACAATGCACACAGCTCTGTCAGCGGGAGGTCACACTGCCCCCTTGTCCGGACAAAGACTGCCCCTCCAAGACACCACCAAACAAGTTATACATCACTCCTGACGTTTCAGATTACCACCTTTTGATGCTACTTAGATACTACCCATCATCCTGTACTTCGTGGTTCAATTATAACGTCTTTATTCATCATGCTGTAGTTTTAGACCCTCTCCTGAACCTGGATTGGTATCTGTGGGGAGTGTGGGTACCAAGGTCTTTTTTAATGAGCAGGTAGTACCATCCTTTTGGAATGTGCTTTCATCTTATGACCAGTACCAATTACTATTGTACGCCTGGTCCCATTACCAATTAGTGTTTTATATTCTCAGCCCTGTTCATGCCAAGTTCTGTGAGCAGGGGCCTGCCTCATGCTCACAGTTTAGCTTTGCTTTATATTAGCCTAATTTTGTCCATTGTTAGCTAGGCCTCAGGCCTCAAACTAGCCCTGTGCTATATGGGCTTTTGTTTCAGGTCCTCATCTTACTATTGCAAAATACCATTAGAGACTCTTTAGCCCTTGCTCAACAAAACTTCCAGAATACTCAGCAAGAACAGAAGACCTGATATGATAAACATGCCAGAGAGTGTTCCTTGAAGGTAGGTGAGCAAGTCATGGCCTTAAAGGTGCTCCTGGCCAGTAAGATGGAAGCACTGTGGGATGGACCATTCATGGTATGAGAGCGCATAGTAGAAGTTAATTATCTCATAGTATTCCCAGACCCTAACATTAAGACTAAGATATATCATGTTAATTCTCTCAAGCCCTTTTATTCCTGAGAATTCAAAGTTCTTCAGTTCATAGCCCACGAGAGAGATGATGCTGAGTGGCCTGAAGGAGCCTACTATGACGGGAAAGGCAAGCGTGGCGTCAAAGAGGTAACACTCTCCATGAGCCTAAGCCATGAGCAGCAATAGCAGATCTAGGAATTGTGCACCAGCTTTGCACCAATGTTTTCAGACACCAGCCTACTATGACGGGAAAGGCAAGCGTGGCGTCAAAGAGGTAACACTCTCCATGAGCCTAAGCCATGAGCAGCAATAGCAGATCTAGGAATTGTGCACCAGCTTTGCACCAATGTTTTCAGACACCCCAGGATGAACTGAATGGGTTTACCACTCCAATAACACAGGTGAAGCTCACGCAATCAGAGCCCATCTCTACTGGATGGCTCCTTCAGCCAAAGCTGCTACAGAGGAGGAGATCAAGGACGTATTAGAGACAGGTGTAATTCGCACCTCTGAAAGTACATGGGCCTCTTCAGTGGTCCTAATTCTGCAAATTGGATGGAGAAATCTGCTTTTGCATGGCCTACCATAAGTTAAATGCTGTAACTCGCCCAGACAATTAACCAATGCCATGCACAGATGAGCTACTGGAGAAATTGGGACACACCTAGTTAATCTCCACCCTAGACTTAACCAAGGAATACTGGCAAGTACCTCTGGATGAGTTAGCCAAGGAAAGATCAGCCTTCATTACACATGTAGGGCTGTACGAATGTAATGTTCTCACTTTCAGGCTACACAATGCTAGGAAGCATCAAACAGGCCTAAACTGGCTTGGGACATCAGGTGGGTCAAGGGACTACAGGCTAAAGTAGAAACTATCCAAAACTGGCCTGTCCCTAAGTCAAAAAACCAGGTCCAATCATTCTTAGGCTTGGCAGGATATTAAAGGTGACTTGTACCCCACTACAGTCAGACCACTGCACCATTGACAGAGTTGACAAAAACAAACAAACAAACAAACAAAAAAACAACCAAATGCAGTTAAATGGACTGGGAAGTGTTAGGAAGCTTTTAAGCATCTTAAGCCTGTTCTTATGTCTGACCCTGTCCTAAGGGTGCCAGAGTGGGAAACAGCCTGGAAAGCAGGTCTAATAAGGACCTGCTATATCAAACGCTAAGGGCGCCCTCGTTGACTCTGGAATTCCTTGTAGTCATGAGGAGTGAGGAGAGTCTGCAGAAGAATTTTGCCCATTGACCTCCCGTTGCGGGGCAACCAGAGACATTTGGCTTAAGATAGGTCTACTCCAGCTACTTTATTTACACAGCTGGAGTTGCATCTCTTAAGCGGACTTTCTAGTTTAATAGACCTGCCCTTAGCTTGTGCATAAATCTGGCACTGGTCACCATATAGCAGGAGTCTGCAACCTTTCCAAAGTTGCATGCCAAGATTTAACCCTCCTGCCTTGGGCTGTGCTGCTCTATTAGGGGAGGAAGACGCTGTCTCCACCACATGCCCTGTGTACCATTTGAGTCAATTCAAACCTTTCCACAGATCACAAGTTGCTAATGGAAACTCAGTGTTAATTACACAATTACACCTGAGACATTTTGCTAGTGCTGCAGCTGGGGAGAATGGGTTAATTTAAATTATTAAACAGATTAAGCGTTTTAACTTTCTTGTGTTAGTTTATCAAACTTCATTTTAAATAAAGGAAAATATTATGTCAAATACAAAAGATTTCAATGTTTTCTTTATTTATGGCAGGGGTGGGGAATCTTTTTGGAGTCGGGGTCACTGACCCATAGAAAAATCAGTTGGGGACCACTCAAATGAGAAGCAAAAAACTCCTCCCAAAATCCCCAACCCTATTGATGTGGCCCCCAGCTGAAACACTTCACTATTCTGGCACTCCAGCCCCCATGGGGTGAAGGGAAATGATAGGGAGGACTGAGGTTCAGGGCTTCCCATATGACAGATTTACTTTTCTGGGGTTCCAGAGTTAGTGGATTTTGTGGACCCTCTTAGGCTCTGGGGTTGGAACAAAAATGAGGGATTCAATGTGCGGGACAGGGCTGCCAGCAAGTGGGATAGGGATGGGAGCACAGGATCTAAGTGAGAGGTGAGGGGCAGTAGGAGGTGAGAAAGGTAGGGTCGGGAAGGGAGTTTGGCAGCAGGAGAGAGTGTGGAAAGAGGGTACAAGAGGAAGTTTGGGGGTGGGATTGGAGGAATAATGCAGAAAAGGTGAGAGGATAAGAATGCTGCCAAATAGCTAGTTGGGGAGGGAGGCAAAAAAGCGGGGAGTAAAGGAAAGTGCAGCTTCCACAAAGTAAAACTGTATCTCCCCCTTACATCTTCCCTATGCTCCAGCCTTGCTCCCCTCAGCCCCATGATCCCCTCGCCTGATCCCTTGCATCACCCCATGTCCCTCAGTGCAACCCCTGCCCCCTCCCTCCCGCTCCCCCCCACAGCCCTGTGCCCCAGCGTATTCACTGGCAGGGCAGTGGTGCTGGGACTCTTAGCCCCCTAGGAGCAGCACTAGGGTGAGGAGAGGCGGGCAGGGGACAGAGTTTCTTCCCTGCCCAGCCCAGCCCTTTGGCTGCAGGCTCAGGCTCCAGGGTTGGGGCAGGAAGAGCCCGGGGCTGCTCAGGCCTGTTTCCAGCCTGGTCAGGCACAGCGAGGCACCGGAGAATGGTCTCTCCCCTCTGCACAGAACCTGAGGGGAGCAGCATGGTGTCAGCCGCCTAGCCCTGGCTCTGCAGAGCATTCCTAGCCCCGCCAACTCCCAAAGCAGGATGCAGCCCCAGGAATGCATGTGTGTGCCTCTCTCGCCTACTTTCCCCAGCGGGAAGCTGGAGCTGGTGCTTCCTGCTGGGGGAGGGAGGCAGGCGAGGCACACGGAGTCCCAGCATGAGCTCCCTGCTGTGTGGGAGGAAGGGGCAGGACTGAGCTCCCACCCTGTGTGCCAATAAAAATGGGCTCATATGCCACTTGTGGCACATGTACCAGGGGTTGCCAACCCTTGCCATATAGGAATCATTTTTTAAAATGTATTTTTAAGCAGCCTATTGAGACTTCTGCCAAAGAATCTGCAAAAGTCTCCAATATTTCTTTAGAATGAGAAAATGCTTAACATAAAACTCTCTTGGTGAGAGGATAGAACATATTCTTTTATTTGCAAAAAATTGTGGAGGCAACTTCTGCCTTACTAAATTCTCATGAGAAGGCTCCCTGATAAAGGAGGTGGAGCTGAGAGGATATCATAATGACATACTAAAGGAGATAGCCCTTCTTTGTAATTTTAAGAACACCGTGTTACAAATTGAATTAAAAAAAAATCATGATACTTACATACAATGTTTAGAAGCTACAGAAATTCTAGAGGATGTTTTATGTTTGTTCATTTGGTCAGATCTTAAGATTTTGGCTGTAGGAGAGCTTCTAAACCCTCAGGTAGAAAGCAGTATACCCCTTAGAAGAGTGCTCCTTACCCAAGAACAGTTAATACTAACTTATCAGTAAGCAGAAAAACCCTTACGTCTGGAAGGAAATAGTAACAAACTCACTGAGATCAGCATTTGTAAGATTTTTTCCCCCATCTGCTGACAATAGGAATTTTGCATACAGAACCTATTGCCTCTTTATTATCCTTCCATGTCCATATGTACTGAAGTGCACGGCTTCAGCAAGACAAACTGTTATTAATTATTCCAGAGTTCACATGACAGGTGAGCAATTCCAAGATCTAGGAAGACAACTTAATTAAGGTGTACTTTGAAAATTTTCAAATAGCGTTTAAAAGGATAACACCCAGCATTTTATTTCCCTTGAGACTACCAATGTAAATTTCACAATACATTTTGAACAGTAAATATATTGTACCTTTGTCATTCCAGAAATAATTAGATGAATTCCTTGTGGCATTTCATGTTCCTCACATATAACATCTCCATAGTCATAGCAAAGGAGCCTTGCTTTTTTCTAAAAATCACAAGCAGATTCATTGTAGGTTTAAATGAAACAGTACAGAACGTATGGAACTTACTACACTTATGAGCATTCAGTAACTAAACAAACATAATGGTAATAGATGTTTAGATTTCATTGGAATTTTGCAGAGCAGAAGGGTTTTTTCAAACAATCATAAAACTAACAATGTAGACTAATATTGTACTTACATTTATTGTATTTCCATTGCTACTTCCCAGAAAAGTAATGTCAGAGGCCAAAATATAATAAAAATTTCCTTTACGAAAGTAATGACAGAGACCAAAACATGATAAATATTGATTGCGATTATTTAAAGAAAGGAGGTAGTTATATTCTAAAATAATTTTCTTAAACATAGGAACCCCAAAAAATTCAACACTTATTTTTATTATGCTTTAACATTGCTAGGATTTATATAAGGCACGACAATACTTAAAGTGTAACATCTCTCATTAAGATAACCCTATTTTCGAAGTCAAGAGGCTACTTTTCTATGGTTATTTTTAGGGTCACAGGATACTCATATGAAAGGAAAAAGTCTATTTTTATTTCAAATGCATGATGGTATTGCTACTGCCAGTTTCCAATGCAATAGCAACTAATAAATATTTTTCAGAGTAGAAGTTTTTTTCAAAGCAAATCAGAACACTGAATGAGTTTATTCTGAAAGACGGAACAAATGTCAGACAAAAAATAGCTTTGACAGCATCTACATTCATTCAATTTTTCTTTTCACTCCAAATCCTATTTTTCATATTAAGCACTTGTTATTCCACTAAACTGTAATTTCTGATAATCACAAAACAAATTGTATTTGGCATAGCATTTGAACATTTTGAAATTATAAATAAACAAATTTTCTGATTAAATGAAAAACTGGAAGACTTCAGGTTGTATGAAAGATATTCTTGGGACACTGGGGCTTCATGACTGTCCTCATTAACTCAGATTGCATGACCACCTTATTTTTTACATTTTCATAAGACTTTATATTTTTTAGACAGTACTTGTGAATGCTGAATGGGTGTTTTTGGCACTTTTCTGGCATACTCAGCTCAGAAGCAGATGATGTGATCTACACTGTTTACTTCCGTCCAGACAGGGAATCTTGAGAAGTGTGCTGCTTACCCGGAGCTAGAATTCAGGATGTTACTGAAAGTCTTCTGAGACTGATCAAACCTTAAGACAGCTACCCATTCCTACTTCTCCATGTAGAAACTAACGATACTGCCAAAAATGACCTTGAGCGGGTCACTGCAGATTATGTAGTGCTGGTAAGAAGGATCAAGAAATTTGAGGTGCAAACGGTGTTCTTGTCCATCCTCCCTCTTGAAGGACAAGGTCCAGGTAGTGATCATTGAATTTTGGAAGTAAATGCATAGTTGCATTGATAGTGTCGGAGAAAAGGCTTTAGATTTTTCGACCATGGGATGCTGTTCTGGGCACAAGGATTGCTAGAAAGAGAAGGGATCCACCTAATGAAGAGAGGAAAGAGCATCTTCTCAGGCAGGGTTACAATCATAGTGAGGAGAGCTTTAAACTAGGATCGTCGGGAGATGATGACCTAACCCCTGAGGTAAGTTGGGAAGTGGGATACTGGGAAGAAATACAAGGAGGAAGGTGCAACAGAGGAGGACCCCTGATTCATGTGGAGAAGGCTGGGCAATCAGCTAGTTACCTAAGGTATCTGTACATGAATGCAAGAAGCCTGGGAAATAAGTAAGAAGAATTAGAACTCCTGGCACAGTCCACGAACTATGATTTGATTGGAATAATGGAGACTTGGTGGGATGACTCACATTAATGGAGAACTGTCATAGAAGGGTATAAACTGTTCAGGAAAAACAGGCAGGGTAGAAAAAGAGGAGGAGTTGCACTGTACATAAGACAGCAGTATAATTGCTCCACTATATAGAGGGAGAAAAACCTGTTGAGAGTCTTTAGGTTAAGTTTAGAAGCAGGAGCAACAGAGGTAATGTCATATTTGGTGTCTGCTATAGACCACCATATGAGGTGGATGAGGCAGACGAGGCTTTCTTTAGACAACTAACAGAAGCTTCCAGATCATAGGCCCTGGTTCTCATGGGGGACTTTAATCACCCTGACATCTGTTTGGAGACCAAAACTGCAGTAATCAGACAATCGAGGAAGTTATTGGAGAATGTAGGGAACAACTTCCTTGTGCACGTGCTGAAGGCACCAATCAGGGGCCATGCGCAGCAAGACATGATGTTCACAATCAAGGAAGAATTAGTTGGGGAAGTAGATGTGGTGGCAAACTGGGAAGCAGTGATCATGAGATGGTTGATTTCAGGGTCCTGAACAAAGGAGATCAGCAAAATACAGACCCTGGATTTGAGAAAAGCAGACTGACTTCCTCAGGCTACTGATGGGCAGGACCCCTAGTGTGCTAACATGAATGGGAAAGGAGTCCAGGAGTGCTGGCACTATTTTAAAGAAGTCTTATTTAAACCATCCCGATGTGCAGTAAGAAAAGCAAATATGGTAGGCGACCAGCTTGGCTTAACAGTGAAATCCTTGGAGAGCTTAAACACAAAAAAAGAAGCTTACAAGAATTGGAAATTTGGACAGATAACTATGGAGGAGAATAAATATATTGCTTATGATCAATAAAGGGAAGAAGGACAATCCAGAAAACTATAACCGGTCAGCCTCACCTCAGTCTCCAGAAAAATCAGGGGCTGTGTCTACACTGGCACCCTTTTCCGGAAAAGGGATGCTAATGAGACACTTCGGAATTGCAAATTCCGCGGGGGATTTAAATATCTCCCGCGGCATTTGCATGAACATGGCTGCCGCTTTTTTCCGGCTCGGGGTTTTGCCAGTCTAGACAGGATCTTGCAGAAAATAAGCCCCTTTCCAGAAGATCCCTTATTCCTACTGTAGGAAAACCCCGAACTGGAAAAAAGCGGCAGCCATGTTCATGCAAATGCCGCAGGGGATATTTAAATCCCCCGCAGAATTTGCAATTCCGAAGTGTCTCATTACCATCCCTTTTCCGGAAAAGGGTGCCAGTGTAGACACAACCATGGAGGGAATCCTCAAGGAATTCATTTTGAAGCACTTGGAAGAGAGGAATGTGATCAGGAATAATCAACATGGATACACCAAGGGCAAGTCATGCCTGACCAACCTGATTGCCTTCGATGACAAAGTAACTGGCTCTGTGGACAAGGGGAAGGCAGTTGATATGATATACCTTAACTTTAACAAAGCTTTTGATATGGTCTCCCACATAATTCTTGCCAGCAAGTAAAGGAAGTATGGATTGGATAAATGGACTGTAAGGTAGACAGAAAGTTGGTTAGATTGTTGGGCTCAACGGGTAGTGATCAATGGCTTGTTGTCTGGTTGGTGGTCGGTATCAAGCAGAGTATCCCAAGTGTTGGTTCTAGGGCCAGTTTTGTTCAACATCTTTACTAATGACCTAGCTGAGGGGATGGATTGCATCCCCAGCAAGTTTGCAGATAACACTGGGGGAGAGGTAGATACACTGGAGGGCAGGGATAGGATTCAGAGTAACCTAGACAAATTGGAAGATTGGGCCAAAAGAAATATGATGAGGTTCAACAAGGACAAGTGCAGAGTCCTGCATTTGGGACAGAAGAATCCCAAGCACCGTTACAGGCTGGGGACTGACTAGTTACGCAGTAATTTGGCCAAAAAAGAGCTGGGGATTACAGTGGATGAGAAACTGGATATAAGTCAACAGTGTACATTTTCATCCAAGAAGGCTAATGGCATATCAGGGTGCATTAGAAGGAACATTGCCAGCAGAAATGATTGTTTCCCTTTATTCGGCACTGGTGAGGCCATATGTGGAGTACTGTGTCCAACTCTGGGGGCCCCCCATTACAGAAAGGATGTGGACACACTGGAGACGGTCCAGTGGAGGCCAACGAAAATTATTAGGGGGCTGGAGCACATGACTTTTGAGGAGAGGCTGACAGTTTTGAGCTTGTTTAATCTGCAGAAAAGAGTGAGGTGGGATTTAATAGCAGCCTTTAACTACCAAAGAGGATGGAGATGAGGCTGTTCTCAGTAGTGACAGACTGCAAAATGAGGAGCAATGGTCTCAAGTTGCAGTGGGGGAGGTCTAGGTTGGATATTAGGAAAAACTATTTCACTAGGAGGGTGGTTTGGGGTACCCTAGGGAGGCGGTAGAATCTCCACCCCTAGAGATTTTTAAGTCCTGGTTTGACAAAGCCCTGTCTGGGATGATTTAGTTAGGGTTGGTCTTGCTTTGTGCAGGGGATTGGACCGATGACCTCCTGAGGTCTCTTCCAGCCCTTAAATTCTATGATTCTACAAATAAAAGTAAAAGAAAGTGTGGACCAAAAGAAATGGACTGTCATATGAAACTTTCCATTTTAATCCTGAGATGGTCTTGTCCCAAGAGTTCCTTGCTAACTCTATCAGAAACGATAATAAAATGAAAGCAGATGTACGGGGTCTCTTGGTGAGTATAGTCGATAAACACAGGGTGGAATGTCAGCTCATCGGGATGCTCATGGAAAGGGACTGACTGATAAGAGCCCTGCATGGATACAAAGTTGGTATCTGCATCTGCATCAATAATCCATGGATATTTGCATTCCCATGTGTGGATATGCATACCTACGGATATAAAGAGGTTATCTGAAAATTTGCAGGGTTCTAAATACAAAATTTAGGAAGTGGGAGGAAGTCCCTAAATCACAAAGCCCCAGCAAGGGGAAACTGATATCCTTGGTAGGTCACAGTACAAAGCCCAAGAATACAGATCCTCAGTCAGAAATTAAGAGCAGAAGGAGGGATGAAGGAGACATCCAGCCCACGCCCCTTAACAGAGGAGAAAGACCCAACAGAGCATCCAGCATGGCAACTCCCAGGAGAAGAGATCCAGGTCCCACTTACCATGTCTGAGGAACCTGGGCCCTGGAAATAGGGATCAATCCCAAACCTCTGCAGGAATGGTAAGAAAGGAAAAG